GAGGTGACAAACCCATTTGCTTTAGAATGTCCTGAAAACCTGACCAGTCCCACCCATCACCAAGTTAGGTGTGGTGTCAATATTCACCTCAGAAACACGTGACTGTCTCCCTGGGCTGGCGTGTCACCTGAGGATCCCTCAGTGGTCTAGGGCTCCTGGTGCCGGCCGGCACACACAGGACTCACGGTGTTCTTGTGTGGTGAGGAGGGGATCTTCGGGGCCTATCCTCCAGGCTGAGGGCCAAACTGCCTCAGGGATGCGTTGAAGGCCCTGGTGGGAGCTGGGTAGAGGCCCAGGAGAGTTGATCTCCAGAGAGCTGGTCCCTACATCCTAAGGGGAGGTAGACTGAGAAGGCTCTGACACCCAGGCCCTGGAGGTGTGAAATGGGGCTCTATATCTTGGTGTGGCCTGGAGTTTGTGAATGTGAGGACACACTGGTGAACCACTCCCACAGAATCTAATAAAACCTTTGTGGGAAGCTTTTGACCTTTTGACCCCTTACTAGAAAGGAGGTTCACAATACCTTTTTTGTTTTGTTAGGTGCCATACCCTAAACACCTAGAATAGTGCCTAGTAAAGAATGGGCATCCAAAAACTATTGCTGAATTGAATTTATGTGAAACATCCAGAATTCAGAATTTGGCTGCTATATGACAAAAAATTCACAGAACTGAAGGGAAGTGGACAGCAGGGATAGTGGGTCTGGAAATTGGATCTGAATTGGGGATCTGGGTTATACTGCTTGGAGATTAATGAACTCCCATAACCCATTGTGGGTACTGTTTGGGGATGCTGCAAAGGAATTATAGCATCTGTGTATTTACTGACCACCTACTACAGGCCCAGCCCTTCGGATTCATATGTGCTTCTAAACTGCAGAATTACCCAGCTGGTGATGCTCAATGGTTGAGCGCTGACCTATGAACCAGATCATGGTTTGATTCCCAGTCAGGGCACATGCCTGGGTTGTGGGCTTGATCCCCAGTGGGGGAGGAGGGGCGTTCAGGAGGCCCAATGATTCTCTCTCATCCTTGACGTTTCTATTTCTCTCTCCCTCTCCCTTCCTCTCTGAAATCAATAAAACTATATTTTAAAAAACAAACTGAAGAACCAAGTAAATAAAAATAAATAAATCGCAGAATCAGCAGCACAAAGCAGCTCATTATTTTCCATCAACACCAGAACCCATCTTCTCCCCAGGAGTCCCTACTTCTATTGCTTCAATCCCCATTTATGGAAAAATCAGGAAGGGTTGACCACATGGGAAGTTTTCTTTCTTTGAAAGAAGCTAATTAGAATTCAGAAGAGCAAGCCCTTGGGCCACTGTAACCAATAGCAGCAAGCTGCTCAAGACAGGTTAACAAGCCTGCATTTCTGGGCAAGGGACAGTCATTCCAGGATTCTCCTAATCTTCTTAGGTTAGGACCACCATGCAAGTTCCTTCTCTTAAACCTAGAGTTCCAGCGAGTGCCTAGGTTATCCTTAGATACGCAGTGGGAAGGTTCTCGCCAGTCAGGCTGTCAAAAGCAAACAGGCAGTTGGAGAGAGCTGCCATCCCAGGCACTTGCAGCTATGGTGACTGCCTGACTCATTGTTCAGAGGAGGAAAAAGTAGTGAAAGAGAAGGGCTGGAGATAATGAGCGGATGTGGGCCTTTCTATAAAAAAAACACAGCAGCTTCCAATCAGAAGAACAGAGGATGAGTATCCAGCTACCCAACCCACAAAGGGCAAAGTCCCTGCCCTGGCAGAGTCTGATTGCTGGGATGAAGCTCGCCTAGAGGCAGAGCGGAGCGGGCCTTTCTAGGTTAACGTAATCAGATGGATATGGGACACCTGCCACTCACTGCAAAGTGCTTCACAGAGCGTGCTGGCTGCATTCATCTGCTTAATAAAGGCAGAATCTGAAACAAACCCTCCTTAGCCAGTTTCTCAGAGCCCTGTGGTAGAGAACATGCCTCTAATTAGAGCCCTCTGCACAGTGGTGGGGCTCAGCTATGCTGTGGTTTGGTGCTGCAAGGCAGAAGTTACCATGTATTTTTCTAGGCAAGCAAAATGTAGATGATGTTTAATATCAGAAATCTCTCCAGGGAAAGAACATACTGTAGCTCAGAGAAATAATGCAAAAGTTTGAGTTAATTTTTGGTTTGAGTCTTTTAAAAATAGAACACTCAGGTTTGGTTTGTGAGCAGTGCAGGAACTGGAAGAATTATTTGGGCTTTCACAATAGCACACCAGAGTATTTCAGACGTCGTAAAGAAACTGAGACTCACAGAGGCTGAGTAACTTGCCCAATGTCACACAGTTACAAATGACAGGGCTGGAATTCAAGATCGAGCCTGAAATCCGGGCATGGGCCCGGACTGGGAATCGAACCGGCAAGCCTTTGGCGCATGGGGCGATGCCCAGCCCACCGAGCCACCCTGGCCAGGGCAGGAGCTCACTAGTAACCCGTGTGCCCGCTGGGGAGGAATGTGGCGTTCCGAAGGGGGAGGTTGCCAGGCACTGTGTCCAGGCGCCCAGGGAGAGGATGGTCAGCCTGAGATCAGCCTGCCGACGGCTTTCAGGCCAGGTCCCATGTTTCTTCTTTGAGATCTTCCCTCTAGTGAAGTGTGTCCGAGGGTGCTGACTATGACTGTCCTGTGAGGAGTGGATGCACTGGTCCTCAGTGTGGGTGTCCTGAGGTCGTGTCCGTCACCACAGGACCTTGGAGGGTGGCCACCATCACCATGGGGGGCAAGGAGACAAGTGTGAGGACCTCAAAGTGGGGTATGTATGTAAATATGTAGAGAATAAACAGTTACGCAAGAGCCAGTCCACCTTATAAATACAGAGCTCGTGTGTTCACAGCTGTGTTTTCTAACACCCAACATAATTTCAGGGGCAATGAAACATATTTTAAAGTTAATTTTCTCAAGCCCATCTCTTGTCAAAAAGTAAATGGCTATTCATACAAAGTGGCGGCTGCGCTCTTTTTCTTGGATGCTGGGGAGAAGATCAATTTTACCTGGGACAATGGGTTTTATAAAATTGGGAGCCTAACCAATTTCATTCTTATTTCAATGCAGATTGTTGGGCCTTCAGTGGAAGTAGTTACATTACAGACTATTATGGAACCAGACTTACAAGACTATTACTAACAAACATTTAGAGAAAGTTACATCTGTGAATCTTTTTCAAAGAAACAGACAGAGGCGCATTGATTTTGAGAGAGAGCTCCCAGCATGTGGGCTTCCAGATTTTCCTTCTTTACTTTATGGGTTCTATGTATATTTGTTGTTGTTATTTTTGTTGTTTTACTTAAAAGGATATATTCTGAGATTTATTTAATAGAACTTTCTGGGGAGCTGTATGAAAAAAAGAGTTTGAAGCAACCTAGATCACAAACAGACTGGAAAAACAGTTATGGTGCAAACACATAATGGGATGATTGGCAGCGGAAACATAGACAGAGGAAGTTCTCAGGTACTGACAGGGAGTCATTGCCAAAAGCAAGGTAAGAATAATGTGTAGCTTATGATCAGTTGTGCAGAGGAAGAGGCCACACATGCGTGTCTGCCTATGGAGAGACGTCTCTGGAGGACACGCGGGGAAGTGGGAACTCGGCCTCTGTGCAGGGAAGTGGTCCCAGGGGCAGACGGGCAGGCATTTCACTCTGGGTTCTCTTGTACTTTCCATTTCAAACCATGTGACCACAGCACCCATTCAAAAGTGTGTATCTGGGGAGCATTTGCGATCTTGCTCCCTGGCATTTGTCAGTTTGGCTTAAATAAACTCTTATAAAAATTAAAAAGTGCATCTCTACTCTTTTAAAAGTGATTATGATACGTGAACTTAAAAAATGAATTAAGTAGCCCTGGCCAATGTGGCTCAGTTGGCTGGAGCATTGCCCCATACACTGAAAGGTGGCAGGTTCGATTCCCGGTCAGGGCACATACCCAAGTTTCGGGTTCAATCCCCAACAGGAGGCAACTGATTAATGTTTCTCTCTCACATTGATGTTTTTTTTTTCTCTCTCCCTTCCCCTCTCTAAATCAATTAAAAAAAGAATAAGTCAACATTTATATATGCCCATGCAATCACATAAACAAAATACATGTATAGGATAAATAGGAGATTATCACATCAAGATGGTAATAATCTTTCTTTCTCTTCCCTGTTTCTCCAGAATTTTTACAATGTGGTTACGATGGATATTTTTGTAGTATTGTTTTCTGTTTATTTACTTCTTCCTTGACTAAACCAGTAATCAATCAGTACAAATGGCGAGACAGGCGGAATTGAAGACGAGGGACTCCAGCATCCCAATTCACAGTATACTCAACAAAGGAGAAAACCTACCAGCCTAAAAAATTGTCCAGTCAATAGCTTCCAATCCTTTATGAAAACTACAAAGAACGATTCTCCAGGTAGGCATAAAACGGTAAAGGAGAATCCCTCTCCACCCAGAAGCAAATCACAGCCTGACATAATGCAGTTCACAATACTAATAGCTCCTTGCTTCTAACGACTACTCTACAACTTCCTGTATTGTCCCTCATTCTCATCACTGGTAACCAAGGATACCACAGGTTTTCCCTAGCTTCTAGCTCCCAAATTTCAAACTAGTTTTCTTTCTGCTTAGGAGGTAGCGAGAGAGATGACTTCTACTTTTTTTTAAATGCACACACATAAAAGCATTACCCGTGTTTTCTGACACAATAAAATAGACTTGGAAACTACTTCCAAACCCCAGCTGAAGAAGGGAAGCCACCCCGTCCCAAAGCCAGGGAAGCAGGGCCCTAGCTCTGGAAGGAAAAGGAAACACAACAGTCAGGGCTTCCCAGAGCCCATCTGCGATGGCCATGACCTTGGGCCCGGCTCCTTGGGCTGACATTCACCGAGTCTATCATCTGATACAGTCACTTTCTTGGTTGCAATTTATGAGCTGCCAGTGTTTACCTGTGAGACTGTCTGGGAGCTGTAAGGGAAGGAAGATAAATACACCAAAGCCCAGCTGAGCAACTGTTAAGTTTTACATTTTATTTCCAGGAAACAACATCTTGTTTTCACAAAGAGGGGTGCCATCCTCTCAAATAGAGGCCGCCTTAGCGTCAGGGGCAGCCACGGGGGTACATTCAAGCTGTCCGGAACAAGGTCAGCAGAGGCACCAAAACAGTAACAAAATAACAACAAATTTAAAAAAGCAAACGGAACTACATAACCATTCAACACGCAGTGAGGCAGAGTCTGTTGAGTACCCGGAAGCCGTAGGGCGGTGGGTACGGGGTGCTTCAGGTGATGGGGCAGCGGGCTGGCCAGCATGGGAGGCTCCTGACGGACGACTTCTTACTTAGACTTTGTCCCACGTGGTTCTCCCGCGCTCTGCCCGGCGCAGCCCAAGACAGTCCACAGAGGATCCTTGAGACCGCCCCGCGCTCCGTTGCCTGGCAGTCTTTCAAAGGCCCCCGCAGCAGTCTTCACAACAATCTCTGTGCTTTGGAGGGAAAGAGCAGAGAAATAAAGACGAGCTGCATGGGCCTTCTCTGGCCTCCCCACAGACCAGCCCCTGCAAAGAGAAACAGGTCAGATCATATCCCTCTGCTCAAAGTCCGCTCCTCACTTCCCCCAGAGTAAGAGCAAAGTCAAGGGCCTTCCCAAGGCCTATCAGGCCCACACGACCTGCCTCCTGCCCCACGTCCTGCCCCCTTCCCCCTCCTCCATCACTCACTCTACTGTAGCCAGCTGGGCTCCTTACCGTTCGTCCTACACTCCAAGCAACCCCAAGCACACTCCCCCTCTAGTCCCTCCCTGTGGGACCCTCTCCCCCAATGCAGCGGCCACTTCCAAAGAGCTTTACAGCATGGCCTTCTCTAGGTAGCTCCCCACACTTGTAGCCAAATGTTTTGAAGAACTTGTTCATCCTACTCTTGTCTACTTTAGCCCATACTCATTCTACTCATTGCAAACTGGCTGCTGACCCGCCAGTCCCCCCCACGCCTGCTCTGTCCAAAGGGCACTTTTCCGTCCTTATCTTCTCAGCCGCAGTCACACTGCCCACCCCTCAGCTCGTGACCACTCGTAAATGTGCATTCACTGGGGAACACTCTCCTAGGCCTGAGACCACACACAGACAGATACAACCCGTCCTCAGTTTACAAATTGAGGGGCAAGAACACACTAACAAATACAATTTCAGTATTGTAAGTACTTGAAGTAAATAAATAGGGAGATGTCTAGAATGTAATAAGGGCTAAGGGTGGGGTCAGGAAGGCTCAAAGCACACCACTCCGATGGCCTGTCCCACACGCCCCCTTTCCCACCTCTGGCCACTCACCGTCTGCCCTGCACACTCCTCTTCCACCACCCGCACCTGCAATGCTGGCATTGCTCTGGGCCGGGACCTGACCCTGGGCTCTGACCACCCAGACAAGATCCCCAAATCTAGACTCTTCTGGGCTCCAGGTCCACATATTTAAATGCCCTCAGGCACTCTCAACTCACTTTGGTCTAAACAACTTTAGTCTAAAACTAAACTCACCTCCCTGACAGCCTGCACCTTACTTCAGCAAATGCACCATCATCGCCCCGCTGCCAGGCAGAAACCGGAGTGATCCGCAACTCTGAGCTCCTTCGTTCCTCACAGCAAACCAGCTCCACAAACCTGTAGATTCCACCCTCTGACCCACTGCTCAAGTCCAGCCACTCGCTGCATCCCCACTGCTACTTCGCTGGCCCAGCCATCATCCTGGGCCAGAGCTGCTGCCTCTGGTCTTGTTCCCATCCCCATGTGTCATCTTCACTGCACCCCATTAACCTATCCAGAAAAGTGTAACATGGACAGTCACAGCTCCACCCAAAACCTTCTGTAGTTCTCCCACGGCCCCCAGTCTAAATCCTGCGGACAGGCTAGGGGACCCTTCACGGTCCACCAGCCTCAATGCTCAACGATCTCTAGCACCCTGCCGTCCCGCCCTCAGCACCCCTTGCTTTCTTGCTCTTAGCCCCTTTACCGGTGATATACACCCATCCCCCTTTCACTTCCCTTCACTTCTCTGCTGTCCCTGGGCCTCTGCCTAACACCATTCATCTCTCTTCTAATAGCGTTACTACAACCGGCCAGGCCCTGCGTCTGGATGAAAGCTCTGCTCCACCAGGCAGGCTGCAGCGCCCACCCACTTCCATTCCAGCACCTGACAGTAGGTACTAAGAAAAAGGAAGGGTCCAGAGGAAGGAAGTGAAGAGCAGTTTCTTTGGGGTTGGTTCTGGTTCAGGTTTCATGGGCCAAAAGTAAAAAAAAAAAGGTCCAAACTCCCCAGGTAGAAAAGCAGGAGGCTGTTCAAGCAGAAGCCCGGGCCAGAAACAGGAGCATGCCTGGTCTTACCAGACGTCACAGGAGCCACAGCAACAGGCACTGGACAGGATACAGTGCAGCTGATGCAGAGATGCCTCCTGGTGACGGACCTAACCCTATGGGGTTCCATGAGGGAAGGACGAGGAGGAAACGGTGTCCCTGACGGGTTCATGGGCATCTAGAACACCCGCTGATCGGAGTGTGCTCTAAAAACACCCGGCACAGCCAGCGTTAAGCATCGGGACCAAGGAAGGCCCAGGAGGAGCTGCTTGGGTAATGACAGACGCTACATTCACACAAGTGGTCTCCCACAATAAGAGGCTCCTGGAAGCCTGTCTGAAAAGCCAATTGAAAGGTGCACGTTAGCGGGAAGAGAGGATCCACTTTTTAGAGCCAAAATAACTGTTTTATCGTTACAGAAAACAAAACCAAAAAGGCCAGGAGGAACTTCTGCTGTGGAAACAGCAACGAGTGAGGTGAAGCCCCTCCTGCTGGACCCCCGCCGACCGGAGCTGCTCACTTACTTCTCCTGAAGCTCTAGGTGTGCTCAGGTTCCTCCCCTGGGCCCTTCTCTCCGGCTGGTGGGCAAGCCTTGGCCAGCAAGCACTGGTCTTGCCCTCAGTACAACGTGGTGGTGTTGGTGGTGGTGCTGGTGGGCGGTGCTCACCAGAGTTCCTGACTCTGCAGGCAGGTAAGCAAAGGTCAGCCTGGTCTCTTCTCTAGCACGAGGCGTGGTTCCCTTAAACCCAGCCAGGCACGCATTTGGGGTGCACCGACGGATCATTATGCCAGGAAGGCCCATCCCCTAAGCCGTGAAAGCTTGTCCAAGGGCCTGCGGTGAGGTGGCAGCTTTCGGTGAAGGAGAGAAGACACTCCTCCACAGAGCACTGGTCGGAACAGGCTTCACCTCCCGATGGAAGGAGACCATCCAGAAACCTCAAGGACTAGAGTCAACAAGAAATGTGAGTTCGGAGACTCTGATGGTCACTCCATATATTCCAATTCATATCTTAGAAGCTGACTTCTAAGATCACAGTACCTTCGCCACTGGGCGAACAGTTCCTATGCTGCCCTGTCCCTTCCACCTGTGCAATCTTTTTTTAAAAAATATTTTTATTGATTTCAGAGAGGAAGGAAGAGGGAGAGAGAGATAGAAACATCAATGATGAGAAAGAATCATTATCAGCTGTCTCCTACACACCCCACACTGAGGATCAAGCCTGCAACCCGGGCGTGTGCTCTGATGGAATCGAACCGTGACTTCCTGGTTCATAGGTCTATGCTCAACCACTGAGCCAAGCCGGCCAGGCCCCAACTATGCAATCGGAGATGCCAATAAGGGCGACGAGCGAGACACCACTTAAGGGAAAAGGAAAGGAAGACCAATAGGAGACAAAAGAGGAGGAGAAGGGAAGGAAGAAAGGAGGGGCAGCAAAAGAAACCATCAACAACATGAAAAAGGAACCCATTATACTCACCAATAATACATTTGATAAGAGGTTAATCTCCAAAATATATAAAGGACGTATACAACTCAACACCAGAAAGACAAACAATCTAATTTAAAAAATGGGCAAATGGCCTGAATAGACACTTTTCCAAAAGAGGACATACAGATGGCTGAGACATGAAAAAAATGTTCAAAGTCACTGATCATCAGAGAAATGCAAATTAAAACAACGAGGTGTCACCTCACACCTGCCAGAATGGCTACCATTAATAGTATATACACCGAGTGGCCAGATTATTATGACCACCTGACGTTTGTAGGCAAATTAGCTATAATTTCGCGCTGAAGTTGCTAGAGGGCCAGACCATTATAAACAGGGAAGCAGGTTGTTTACCACGACAGTAGAAGTGGTTTTTTTCCTGAACATATGGGTAAACAACGCAATTTAATGGCCTTTGAATGTGAGATATGTATTATGATGAGTGGCCAGATTATTATGACCACCCATCAGTACTTCGTTGGGCCACCTTTTGCCTTCAATACTGTGGCAATTCTTCTTGGCATTGACTCCACGAGATGTTGAAAGGTGATGCGAGGAATCTGACACCATGCCTGATGAATAGCACTGTCCGGTTCTGTGAGATTTGATGGTTGTGGAACCAGCTGCCTGATGGCTTTTAACTTTGTCCCACAAATGCGCAATTGGATTGAGATCTGGTGATTGGGGGGGCCACCTAAGCAAGGTAAAGTCTCCCTCATGTTCTTGAAACCACTCCTGCACAATACAAGCACCGTGGCATGGCGCATTGTCTTGTTGGAAGAAGCCGTCTCCATTGGGATACGCCATCAGCATGATAGGATGAACTTGGTCAGCAATGATACTTAGGTATGTTGTGTTATTCAGACGTTGTTCCACACGAATTAAAGGGCCCAAATCATGCCAGGAAAACATGCCCCAAACCATAACACTGCCCCCACCAGCTTGAAGGGTTGTACTCATGCATGTAGGGTGCATGCTTTCATGCTGTTTCCACTCTGCCATCTTCATGATGCAACTGGAAATGTGATTAATCGGACCATATGACTTTTTCCCCAATGCTCGACTGTCCAATCCTTGTGTTCCTGTGCGAATTGGAGACGTTTTATCTTGGTAACTGCAGACAGCAAAGGTGTTCGAACAGGCCTTTGGCTTCCATATCCCATACGATGCAGTGTACGGCTAATTTGCCTACAAACGTCAGGTGGTCATAATAATCTGGCCACTCACGTTCAAATATATTCCCTGTTCAAAGGCTGTTAAATTGCGTTGTTTACCCATATCTTCAGAAAAAAATCACTTCTACTGTCGTGGTAAACAACCTGCTTCCCTATTTATAATGGTCTGGCTCTCTAGCAACTTAAGCGCAAAATTATAGCTAATTTGCCTATAAATGTCAGGTGGTCATAATAATCTGGCCACTCAGCGTATATCGACAAACAAGTGCTGGCGAGGATGTGGAGAAAAGGGAACACCAGTGCACTATTGGTGGGAATGCAGACTGCTGCAGCCACTGTGGAAAACAGTATGGCATTGCCTTAAAAAATTAAAAATGGAACTGCTCTTTGACCTAGTGATCCACTTTGGGAATATATTCTAAGAATCCTGAAACACTGACCAGAAAGAATATATGCTTCATAGCAGCACTGTTTACAATGGCCATGATCTGGAAACAGTCCAAGTGCCCATCAGCAGATGAGCAGATAAAAAAGCTATAGTACTTTTACGTAATGGCATACCACACAGTTGAAAAACAGAAGGATCTGTTATCCTTTGAGACAGCATGGATGGACCTGGAGAGTGTTATGCTAAGTGAAACAAGTCAGTCAGAGAAAGACAAATACCATATGATGTTACTTATATGTGGAACCTAATGAACAAAATAAAATGACAAACAAAATAGAACCACAAGCATGGATACATGGAACAGTCTGACAGCTGTCAGAGGGGAGTGGGGAGTTGGATGAAAGAAGATGAAAGGATTAGCCAAAACCATATATGTATAACCCACAGACACAGTCAACAGTGTGGTGATGGCCAGAGGGAAGGGGGTGCGGGGGCTGGGTAGAGGGGGGACGAGGGGGATATGTGGGGACATCTGGATTAGTGTCAACAATAAAAAAAAGAAGAAGAAGAAAGCCCTGGCTGGGTGGCTTTCTTCTCCCTCTCTACAACCCCTCCCTGTTCCTCTCTCTCTAAAAATCAATAAAAATGTATCCTCAGGAGAAGAATAAAAAAAAAATCTCAATTTAGAAAAATATATATAAAAGGAGGGGCAAAAAATGGAGGGTGGTTTTGGACTATAAAGAAAAAAAAACTTCTAGAAATAAGCCTGCCAATTTTCTATCCCATGACAATTCTGTAAAAGATAAATTTGTAGAGTCCAGTGTTATACACTATTTGGATGCATGCAGGTGGATACCCCACCCCACGCTACCCTTGCTGAGAGCTACTGTCCCTTAGACCAGTGATGGTGAACCTATGACACACGTGTCAGAGGTGACACACGAACTCATTTTTTTGGTTGATTTTTCTTTGTTAAATGGCATTTAAATATATAAAATAAACATTAAATATATAAATCTTTGTTTTACTATGGTTGCAAATATCAAAAAATTTCTATGTGTGACACGGCACCAGAGTTAAGTTAGGGTTTTTCAAAATGCTGACACACCGAGCTCCAAAGGTTCGCCATCACTGGCCTAGGAGCAGGACTGGGTGCATTAAAAGTCCTTGCCAACAAGTCTTCTCTCTGGATGAAGTCAACTTGCCAGACACTCTGACTCTGCCATCCCCACACAGGCCTCCACTGGGCTCTCTCAGCAAGGGGCGATGGCAATATCAGGGACAGCCTTCCAAGTGGGCAGGCAGGCACTCTCTTCAGAGACTGCCAGTTTCTTGCGTCCCGTGCCGGGACCGCGCTCAGCTAGCTGCAGGAAACGGGCCAGGACTGACCTGGGCTGACCTTCCTAGAGACCCTCAACCTCTGGATTCGGGAAAGCTGTGGTTCATGAACCTCTCTCCCCACCTCAGCACACCTGAAGGCCATGGCGCTTTCACTAGTATTATAGTATCAAGGGAGCTGGGGAATGTGGTTTGAAAAAGCCCCTGGACTGGAAATCACTGTCCTAAAGGACCAACAGGGTTTTATTTCTAGAAAATTTGCTTTCTTCTTTTCTGAGCCCAACCCAGAGAAACTGCTGGGGAAAGCTAAAAGTGGGGGTGTTAACACTCTTGTCAAGCAACAAACATCGAAGGAGGACAGAACAACAGGGGAGGGGAGCCTCCACAGGGGGTAAACGTCTTTCCTGCAGGCAAGCCTCCCGTCAGCATCCTGGTGAGTTACAATTACTCATGTGCTAGCACTTACTGATGCTCCTGATCTGCCTCAGCCCCAGAGCACCCTTTCTTCACCTTAGCATTCTCCGTCTCTCCTCTATAATCTGGCCACCCAGAGTTTACAAGGGACCAATGGCTCGTCAGTCAAGAGGCACTGCGCCTCCCATGGGACACTTCACCAGCCAGGGAGGCCCAGGTGGGATGAGCCCCATACCGCCAGAGAGGCGGGTCTCCCTCTCTGAACTCGTGCTGAGAGCAACCCCTGCAGGAGGAAAAGAGCCCGCCAGTGTCAGCAATCCGACAACGACAGGCTTGCCAACCCTAGCTCCCAGAGCCTGTTTGGTCTTTTTTTAAATTTCCATGCACTGGGGATTACACCAGCTTTCTGTTGGCTAGGAAGGTTGGTATTTGAAATGAGACCTTCGCTCAGTCCCACACCGCAGACCAGTGCAGCTGCGGATGCTCTGGCGCGTTTCCCTAACCAGGCCTCAGAACTTCTGCCTGTCTCTAGAGGAAGCCTCAAAGCTGCGCTCACTGTGATAACTGCGAGGCTGATTGGCTTACGGTGCAGCTCCACGTGTTACCAAAAAGGCAGAGATACCCTCTTTAGCCTTGGAGAGAAAAGGGAGTTGGGTATTCTCTCCCTTTCCAGTGCTGCATGAAGCCATCTACGGAGCCTGAACTTTCGAGAGGAAACCTAGTCAATGGGCTGGATGAAGAAAGTATTGGGTGTCTCCCCCGCCCCGACAGGCCCAGCACACTTCAGCTCAAAGGCTGAGCCTGGTCAGCGCGGGGTGCCCAGGTCACTGCTCCCGCCGAAAGGAAAGAGGAAAGCGAACAGAAGGCACTCGCAATGCCCCAGGAGACCCGCTGCTCGGCACCATGAAGACATTCTACCTGGTGTGGACATGAGGGGCACTGCTAGGAACAAGCCATGCTTCTCAAACCTCTGTGCTCTGCTTGTGCTGAGTCCTCTGCTTGGAAAGCTGCCCCTTAGGGAACCTTTAACTCATTCAAAAGGCACTTCTTCCGTGAAGCTTCGCCCGCACTCTGCCTGCCCAGGCCGACGTGAGTGCCTCTTCCCGCAGTCTCCCAGTACCCTGCTGTGGACCTTGTCATGCTACCTGTGTCCCTCTCCACCTCCCCCACCGACCGTGAGTGCCGAGGCTGAGACAGTGCCTCCGGGACCATTGCATCCTGGCCCGTAGTACAGTGCTCCTGTGCCTGCTGTGGAAGGAGGGAGGTGCAGAGGAGGAACGATGGGATTCTGCCAGAATCAATGGCTCCTGGGAGGTAAAAAACAACTTCTGGGGGCTTAAAATGGGGCGCAGGTCAGAATATCTTCCCTGAGTGTAACAGGCTCAACAACACTCCTGTTCAGCACCCCCAGGCCTGTGACTGCCTCTGCTGTAGCTGACCACCTGAGGGCGTCTCATGCCACAGCTGCTCCAAAATCAGCATCAGATTCCTGGCCCAACTCAAAGTGGCTGCTCCCTGCGGGAGGGCTGGGAGAAAGGAAGCAATGGGCGAAGACCCTATTGCTAGCTGTGTGGCTTTTAAGCCTTCAGCTTCTCTGAACTTAGGGGAAGGTACATCCGAAGGCACATGTGAATAGGGGTTACCATGGCCAGGTGGTGGGAAGCACCTGGAATGGCAGCAAGTTTCTGGCTCTTCTCTGATAGGTCTTTATGTGCAGCCGATTGCTATCACAGCACTTTGGCTCTGCAGCTTTCTCACAAGGCAGTGCTACACTGATTATTAAAGGGACTTAGTGATAATCAAGTCCGCCGCGCTTCTGTGCACTCATCACGGCAGGATAACCAACCTTCTCATCCATTAAGTCCCTTGTGCTTTGCCCCGGGACATGTCCTTTCGCCAAAGGCCGTTCAAGCCTTAAGCAGAGCAGCTCTTGCAACCCTCAGCAGAGCAGGCAGCAGGGGTGATGAGGTCATTTGTTAAATGAGAGGAGTTCACAATGGAAGCATGGTTCGTTAGGGAGATTCACCCACCGCTTCCCCATTCCCTTTATCCAAATTCCCTCCAACTGGGAGACTTGTTGGTAAACATATTAGCACCCCCATTAACATGGCAGGATTAAACTTACCTGCCTCTGGTTTAACATTATGCCCAATTTGTGTAATTAAGCTGTGACTATCGCAGAGAGAACCTGTATATGTGTTTCCTTCAGGCATTCAAGTTGTGAATCTCTGACTTGTACACATCCAATTTATAATTGACTGTATACCCAACCCAAGGGTTTACAACACCTGGACAGAACTAAACTGTCTTGAACAACAGCACCATCTAGTGATCAAAACAGCAAACTGACTGACCACGTGTTTCTAATCACATCTTCTCTTACCCCAACAACCAAGGCACATACACTAAGTCTCCCCCTTCCCGCTGCTCAAGTAAGGGAGTTAATGCTACTTCAACTCTTTCTCAAACATTATCTTTAACTCCTTTTACTTTTCTCCCTTTCTTCCACATCTTCTTCATCTAACTCTCTTCCCCAACCAGTTGTAAGTCCTTCATTGAGGGCACTCACCTTCTTGTACATCATCACTCACCTTTTCGTCTCTTAATTAAGTCAGTTCGTCGTTCTTTTACTTCCGAACTCAGATTATCTACCATTTTACTAATGCAATTGTCCAGAACCAGGGAGGGGGTTTTGGACTTGATGTCCTTCCGACAAATGGGACATTCTACCTTCCTCTTCATCCATTCATTGATACAATAGGAGCAGAAACTGTGGGCACAGTTCAAGGTGACAGCCTGCAATGGGAATGTGAACACACATCAGAACTGTCAGGTTTACTTTCCCAGGGTCGGTGTGATCTCAAAGCTAAGCAAGACCAAGTGGATTTTCAACCACAATCTTTTCTAGAGAGCTTACAAAAGGTACCAGAACCATTTTGGGGGCTGGAAAATTTTTTAAAGTATGTTTTTATTGATTTTATAGAGGAAGGAAGGGAGAGGGAGAGAGAGACATCAACATCGATAGGCTGCCTTCTATTGGGAACTGAGCCCACAACCAGGGCATGTGCCCCGACAGGGCAGGGGATGGGAAATTTTAAGCTTCAAGTTAGATGATTTATTTTCTTTCTCAAAGTTAAATTCATAGACTCAGGCCCCAGGTGGCTGATTTGTCTGTCTTGTTCCACCAACTTAGGCCACTGCCAACATGGGTTAGCTGCCTTGCAAACAAATGTCATTGGACACAGGAAGAACTAGTAAGCGTGTGAATGTTTGGTACAAGCACATCACTAATTCTCTTATGGAAAACAAATGTGTGTCTTGCTAATGGGGAATTAGAACCTCAATTTTAATATAGAAAGGGGAGTACATACAGAAAATTCAGCATATAGGATGGTAGTCCTCCTCCTCTCTATTCAAAAGAAACCAAAAAAGTAAAATACACGTAAAGGCAACTAAAAAGGCTGAAGAAAAAGGGGAAAATAGAAAAACTGTAATGGGCTCCCTGCCAGTGCCTGACCCTGAGTGAATGAGCCTGTGAAGAGGGAGGAAGCAGAGGGGCCCTGTCATTTGAGGGGTTTCGCTGAGACCAGTGGTCCCATCTCCGCCGTGCTTTCATTCCCAAGAATATAAAGCATTATCTTCATTGCTCCTGTTTATGTACGTTTCCTAAGACACAACTTTTCCGAGGCTCAAAAGTCTTCATCCTCCTTTTAGGATGGCAGTGGAAAATGACACAGAAATAATGTATGTTTCAAATGCCAAGTTGGCCCAAAAGCCAACTAGGAGACAATCTGTATACTATAGGAGGTAAATTCTTATAAACAGCACTAAAAACCTGCCTGATTAAAAGGAAACCTCTTTCCAACACTGACTTTAAGAGGTGACCAGTAGAAAAGGTCAGGCAATATGCAGTACACAAAACACAGGCCATGATGTCCGTCTGGTTGTCTGTGCAGAAGCCCCAGCTTGGCTAACCCAGCCCCTGTTCCAAGCCCCCTTTCCTGTCTTCCCCTGGTAGAGTCTATAAACCAAATCAAATGACTAGAAATTATGGGGAAATTTATGACCTGAAGTCAAAGTGGATCCAGAGCAAAGAAACAGGTCTGCTCAGGAGAGAGTTTTTAGGAGGCTGGTAGACTCAACCTCATAAAGACCACCAGAAAAAAGGAAGCAGGGCCAGTATGTGACTTCCTCTGTAAAGGAAGCTGAAAAGCACTGTCATTTAACAACTCGAATTTAAACTTGTGGCATAAGATGAACTGGTCACAAATGGTACAATTTTCAAAAATAAGAGTCTGCAAAAATATGACAGGTAACTAATGATAACGTAGGAGAGAGCTGTTCCTTTTTCACAAGGCCTCAGAGTCCCTGAGACATATTCCACATGTGCTGAATTCCCAGTGCCCACACATCAATGACATGACCGCCCTGTTTAAAGGCTGTGCTGCACGCCCACTCTCAGTACGGCGCCCATTCATGGTGAGGAGAAGCTTTATTGAGCAGCTTTATTCTGATTCTTCAAAAACTAATGCCATATGGCTCTGTTTTCTCCCCAACAACAGAGAGAAAGGCTGTTTTGCAGCTAAAAATATTGATTATATCAAGTAAATACTCAAGAGCAAATGAAACAGGAAAAGGGACAGGAAAGTTAAAGAAGACTACAAGAATAAATGAGAAGTGGCCACCTCTAGACATCACTTTGCAGTCAGATAGCTACAGGAAGTTCCCGCAAGAAAAAGCTCTTCCCAATGTTTCCCTACAGCAGCAGCAGCCTGTGCCGCTGAGCTCCCAGAGTCGGGAGAGGGGCAGGCGCGCGGGAGCCACTGTTCATAATTACCTCAATAAAGTATTCTGAACAGATAATACACTGTAGTTCGTTCTCTAGCACGTCATTCATGTGGCTAAGAACTTCCTCCTTCTGTGCTTGCACCTTCTCCTTCTCTTCCTGCAAAGACACAACCAACCCCACCCGTCATTCGGGAGGACCAACGAGAATGCAAAACAGGACAGGGAGCAGGGCTAATCATCTGGAATAGGATCCAGAAGGATTCTAAATTAAAAATTCATTCTGGTGGAGCAACACAGAGAATAAAGCATTTCCCAGGGGGTACTGTTTCTCAGAACTGGTTTCTAATAGGGGGTGCTGTCTTCCTTTCTTTCCTCTTTCCGATTTTTCAGTATTTGTATTGTAGTTTCTGTCTCCTTCCCTAAATTAACCAAATGAGAAGAACTGAAGGCAGTATACTAACCCCACCAACACCCAAGGCCAGAAGGAGGCATTCAGAATCCCACAGTGAACTGCAGTTCAGAGGGGATATAATATAAAATTATCCCCCAAACTGAAAACTCACTGGACAAAACAGAAGAGTTAAAGAACAGTCCACAGAGGCAGGAAGTTTGCATTAGTGTATAAGGTCCCTTGTGCTCTGTATCGCTGCCTCTTCTATAAAATAGGGATGATCTCTATGTTTCCTGGAGGCTGGAAGGGTGTCAGGCCACTCCTACAAGGCCTGCAGTGCAGTTTCCCTGTGCTTTCCCCAAGAGGTCAACCCGCTGTGGACAATCTTTTTAGGGAGCATCCTAGGCGTGTGCCCTTGAAGCAGTCATTTATTTAAGTTGGCACCTCATCCCCCAAAAAGAAAGTATCAGGAGCCTCTGAGAGAGGAAGTGATATTTAGGGAATATAATTGATTCATTTGTCATCTTTTTAAAAAAAAAATATATATATTTTTTACTGATTTCAGAGAGAGGAAGGGAGAAGGAGATAGAAACATCGAGAGAGAAACATTATCAATCGACTGCCTCCTGCACACCACGTACTGGGGATGGAGCCCCTAACCTGGACATGTGCCCCAATGGGGAATCGAACCGTGACCTTTTGGTTCACAGGTTGACACTCAACCACTGAATTACACTGGCCAGGCTCATTTTTCATCTTTTATTTTCTCTTCTAATCAAAGCAAGACTGCTTATGACAGGGAAGAAGGTCTGGGCCCATTTCTAACTGGAGTCAAGTTCCCTGAACACTATGAATTGCTGGGTTTAAAAAGATGGTTGGTTTCTTGGAGGCTGGGAAAGAAGGTACTCTGTGACTAACAGAGGATAAGGCCATGAGTCCAAGTGACGAGAATCTCCTCCTTCTGTGCTCTGCTCCAGGGCTGTCTGTGAGGAGGGGCAGCTGTGAGATGCAGCCGGGCTCAGGCAGTAATTCGGGGTCAGAGGCTACAAACTGGTGGCCTGTGGACTGGATCCAGCCTACAGATTGGTTTAGTTTGGCCATTAAAAAACAAAACAAAAAAACTGAACTTACTGCCAATGTTTGAAAATTGGGATATTTTATGTGAACATTTGGATTTCCCTCTTGTGTGAAAAACTGAGATCTGACAACACTGGGCTCGCATTTCTGGATGGCAACAACTGGCTGCAGCAGAGCTGCTCTTAGGGGGGAGGTGGGGCAAAGGCTCCTTTCCCGTGCGCCTCGTCCTCACAGGACACTACTCACTTCCATTACCAGTCTGATCTCGGTGGGCACTTGAGTTAGTAACACCTAACTTACAAGTTCTACTGATTTGATGTGGGAAATAATTACATAAATGCATGAGGACGAACTCCTTTTAACTTTGACTTCAGCACCCCTTAGCCTGTGTCAGTGGGACACACTGAGGGAGCATCTACCCTAGACAATGGATTAGACTGCAGCAAGTGTGTCTTATCCGTAGCATTTCGCTTCTGAACGAGGGAAGGAAACAGATGTTGTCTTATAGGCAGACCCTTCTATAGGCCTGAGTAATTTTACAGATTATTTCCCCTGAGGCTGGGAAAAGCCACATACTCTCTTCTCTCACCATTCACCATAGCAACCCTTGCACGGTTGAAAATGCTGAGTTGCATGTACTAACCAAATTCTAAACCTTCATCTTCTTTCTAGTACCTTGGTCTGCTCCAATTCTTTGTTCTTGGCTTGAATGATTGCTTCAAAGTCCTTCTTGCTGCGGTTTAGCTCTTCCATTAGAGCCTGATGCTGCACAAACATAGCAGATACACACTCAAGACGAGCTTCACGGCATCCCTCCTTTTAGCCACACACACCTCCACACCGCCCCCCGCCCCCCAGGCCCCCCCCCGCCTCCCCCCGGTCATTGGCGTTAGTTCAAGGGATCAATGGACTGGCAATTTCAAATTTATGCCTTTGTTCCTTCAGGACACTTACCTGCTGCTTTTTTGGGGGAAGGGAGCAAACAGGGAGGGAGGCCATGAAACCTATTAATCCCTCTGGAAATAGCCCAGCCTCCATGGCTGTCCAGATCAACTGAGGAACTGCCTTGCAGGGAGTCTGATTCTGCAGGTGTTGCTGGGGGCCCAGAATGTGCGTTTTTATAAAAGCCGCCCGAGTGATTCTAAAAACCAACGCTCAAGAACTAATAAATAGCTATGGAGCTACCTCAGAAGACTAAAAATGGAACTCCCATTTGACCCAGTGATCCCACTACTAGGAATATATCCCAAGAAACCAGAAACGCCAATCAGAAAGGATATATGCACCCCTATGTTCATAGCAGCACAATTCACCATAGCTAAGATTTGGAAACAGCCTAAGTGCCCATCAGCAGATGAGTGGATTAGAAAACTGTGGTACATATACACAATGGAATACTATGCTGCGGTAAAAAAAGAGGAACTCTTGCCTTTTGCAACAGCATGGATGGAACTGGAGAGCATTATGCTAAGTGAAATAAGCCAGTCAGAGAAAGATAAATACCACATGATCTCACTCATTTGTGGATTATAGAGAACAACATAGACTGATGAAAAGGGACAGACCCAAAGACTGAGAAACAGCGATCAGGCTATCAATCCCCAGAAGGAAAGTAGGGGAGGGCGGGGGTAAGGGGAAGAGATCAACCAAAGGACTTGTATGCATGTATATAAGCCAAACCAATGGACATGGACAACAGGGGGATGGGAGCATGAGTTTGTGTGTGTGGGGGAGGTTGGGGGTTAATGGGGGGGATGAGGACACATTTGTAATACCTTAACTAATAATAAAAAAAAAAAAAAAAGAAAGAAAAGAACTAATAAGTAACTCTGAGGCTACCCAGCACTGGGAGTGAGCTTTTAAGAAATAATCAGGGAGAGATGGGATTCGGGGATTTCATTTCCATTGAAATAAAAAAGGCCTTTAACCTACTTATTCTACATATCACACACGACTCCCGCACAAGACAGTCCCGCCTAAACCCTGCCCTCATTTTCCGGAACCCGGCAGCCCAAGAGCTAACAGCTTGTTCATGGGGGCTACCTGCCTGGATGGGTGCCAAGAGGATCCACTTCTATGAAACCTGATTTCTGAACGTCCTGTGCTTAAGTGTAGCTTATACTTTAAATCGTTCCTCACATCCTTTTTAAAAAGAAGGTGGAGTAAAGGTAAGTACTTCTAAAAAGATACTACTCAAGAAAGAAACTTTAAAATGTGTGATCTCCTGAGAAAAACAGTTACTTCAGAAGGCCTGGGTATTCATTCATTTTGACCACTAATTAGATGTGCTGTAACCCTCTCATCTACAAAATGGGAAAACCGGTACCTCTCTCATATCGGTGTTAATAATAAAACAACAGGTAAGAAAGCATTCAGAAAAGTTGTAAACCCAGTTGTTATAATCATCTGGTAAATGAAAAAGAACAGTTTCAGAAGAACCAACATGTTTCAGTTGAGAGAGAGCTATGTCCCCCAGGCATGCTGGCGCAAAGCCATGACCTAGAAGTATCCCATTTGAGGCTAATGAGTGGAGACTGGGCCGGCACCTCATGCTGAATGATAGTGTTTTCCTCCGTCTCAGGAGAGGGTGAGGAGTTGGGGGTGTGGAGTATGCAGTGATCCCTCAGAGACTTCCAAGCAGCAGAACCTTACTCTTTTCCAATCAATTTCAAAACAGTATCTGAATATTAATTTAATAATGCTCTACATGGAAAGCATGCCTACCTTCTCACCCTAGAAAATAAACAAACTTAGAAAATAAAATTCCAAACAAATTGAATTTTCACGTAGTTCTTCCCAAAGCTGTTTGTGCATCTCTCAAGGAATCAAGGCAGGCACCTCCCAAGCTTTTAATAGCATGTGACTGTTAGCACTGCAAGAAGGTTGGAGGTAGGTGTGCAATAAAAGAGCTGTAAGGATCAATTATCCTAAACAAAGTCTAATGTGATCACTCACTTTTCTCAAGGAGACGAACCATCCACTAACCCGACTAAACTTGCATCAAACTACTCATTTTAACCCATAAAGGATAGAAGACAAAGCAGGTTTTAAAGATGCAAAAAAAAAATTTATAAAAATAATCAGATGAGAAAAGTAGTCAAGTTAAATAAAATAAATTACAAGCTATCTTTTAGGAGAATTTTGCTCCTGTGAGCCCTGCCTTTTCAGTAAATCAGTATGTTTTGCTGACTGTTAAACTGCACATTCTCGACCTGACCTAAAATGCTTAATTGGAACATTCTTGAATGGGTTCTGGACAGCTTCAGCTTGGGATCCATGACTGAATGGAGGCCTTGCAGGCCTTGGTGGTGGCGAAGGCATGGCTCACGATTCCCCTCTGCTGCCCTCACCTTTCTGGAGGTGCAGCACTTCCCCAGAGCCTCCTAATGGAGCTACAGGCTCCATTCCGTCTTCACCAGAGCAGCTTCTGCTCAGATGAAGATGTGAGTTTCCATGCTGAGGTCTGGCATGTCTGTGAGGCTCCAGTCTCCGACCTGATGGTGTGAGCAGCTGTCACCTGCTCTATCTAGACTGCAGGTGCTGCAGAGGTGTGCGCTAAGCAGCAGAGGCAGCCAGTGGCCATGTGAAGCCTGGCTGCCCCCACTCCACAGCCCACAATGGCAAGAGCTAAGTTACCTCCTGCAGAGCCTGGGCCAGCTGTTGCTTCAGGTCCTCTTCTCCTTGCTCTTTCTCCAAACCCTGCAAAACCAAAAACCAAATGGAAGGTTTCCTGGCAGAGAGGGAAACAAGCAACAAAATCCAGCAACAAGCAGAGCAGACCAGCTAGCACGAGCATCTGGAAGCAACAGGGGACAGGAAGCAGGTGGAAAATTTCCCATTTTACTCAAGCTGTTGGCAGCAAGGGATCTAAGAAGAGTTAACTGCTTAAATACTGCTCGCCTCAGGGCTGTCACTTGTAAGCCACCACTCAGGCTGTTCTGGAGAAAATACTCTGGATTAATTTCCCACAAATGTGGTGACTCCCCAAAGGATGTTAACTGAAAGGTTCTGAGTTGCCAACTCTCTAAGCACCATCCCCAGGCCGGCACTCATAGGTTCCTCCCTTTGATTCTGGGCACCTCCATCTCTCACACTGAGTCTCTGCTACTTCCAGGCTTGCCTGAACTTAGGCTGTATTTCCTCCGTCACCCCCTGGACAGGGTGCCCTCCACATCATCATTACCCTATGACCAGCACATTCCACAGAACCTCTGGGCCATTCCCTCCTTAAAGAATTATCTATCCATCTAATATGCCAACTTGAAATTATTCTCTAATTTAAATATACTGACTTAAAACTGTTATGATTATTTTATAGGTATGACACATTTATTAAGCATCTTTATAACCATTTGAACCCAAGCAGAGTACCAGGCAACACATGTGCTTAAAAAAAAAAAAGCATTGGTGTGAAGCAGGAAGGGTTAAACAAACTTCTGAACAAGTAGTCGGGTAGAATAAATCCCTAGGGCTTGTGACAAAGGGAAATCCAACCCAATAAATAAAGGACTAGATCAAGGGTGGGCAAACTTTTTGACTTGAGGGCCACAATGGGTTCTTAAACTGGACCGGAGGGCCGGAACAAAAGCATGGATGGAGTGTTTGTGTGAACTAATATAAATTCAAAGTAAACATCATTACATAAAAGGGTACGGTCTTTTTTTTTTTTTAGTTTTATTCATTTCAAATGGGCCAGATCTGGCCCGTGGGCCGTAGTTTGCCCACGGCTGGACTAGATACTATGAGCCATTTATATGTGAGCTTCTCATACCTTGAGAAAATTTCTTAACCAGTCCTTTTGGCTTTTCATTACCATTTTGGTGTGGAAAAAGATTTTACAGCTATTCCTTCAAGCATGCCCAGAGCAGCCACAAATATTAATAGTCACTCTCATTCCTGAACACATTAGCCCTTAAAGAGAGTTCTGCTGCAGGAATGGCGGCATATAGCACATATCTATATATATAAAAGCTAAGCGACGGGAATGACCAGTCGCTATGACGTGCACTGCGGCCAGCCAACGGGCCCAATCGGGGAGGGGCCAGCCGGCCAACCTCCCATGGCCCCTCCCCCCGGCCAGCCCTGCCCCCAATCGGCCCTCCACACCCTGATTGGGGTGGGGCCAGCTGGTCAACCTCCCGCAGCCTTTCCTACCGGCCACCCCCACCCCGATGGGGTCGAGGCTGGCCAGCCAACCTCCTGCAGCTCCTTTCCACGGGGCGGCCCCAATTGGCCCCAATTGGGGCAGGCCGGCTGGACCCCACCTGTGCACGAATTCGTGCACTGGGCCTCTAGTGTAAAGATAAACCTCCCTCTGTCAATTTCAAGAACTTAGTCCAGGATGCAAAAGGGAAGCAAAAAGGTACACATAGCAGTGTGTCCCCTGGAAAGATGTAGTTAATCCATGGCCTCAGCTAATCTACCAGTTCCAGGGGACAAGAGATTGGAATGAAACTGATAAATTGGTCAGAAATAAGAGAACACTGCTGGTTGTTCCTTGCCCTGAACAAAGTAAACACAAGATAAAAGCATAGTCACAGCAATCCTCACTGGTCTGTCTTAGTTCTAGTCAACAGTGGGGAATTCTTGACATTTAATATTACCTGAGCAAGTAGGTGGGAATAAACCTGTGGAACTGATTTTTGAGCAAGGACCAGCTCTAGCCTAGAAGCCTTTTGCAACAGCTTGTCATCTCAGAAAATGACTCGGGGATGACACATTTGGCCTTATCTTGACACAGCTGAGAGAGTCTTTATTTTACCTTCTTGCTAAAGGCACTGTGGAAGGTGGCTTATCACTCAACCCAACAACTGCATCATGGTGGACCTGTTTCCTCCCACGCTGGCTGCTCAGGATGGAGAGAAAGCATTTTTTGCCTCCCACTTCCTAGGTTCGGTACAGAGCTAACAAGCTAACAGGTACATCAAGGGCAGAGTAACCAGCTGGCCTATACCTGCCTTGGGACTGACTTGGCTTTGATCACAGATAAAAAAAAACAACCCCAAAACTCATGAGGACAACTATTGGTTTAAATGGAGAGTACTGTGGTTTTGTGGCATCTTGACCTTCATCCAATCCCCTGAATTTACCTTAGTTCTGAAATGCCTCATCTTTACATCCCGAGATCAGTTACAACCTGGAGCTGGCTCTGCTAGTCACCTTACCCCATCTTGGTACCCAACTCTGGTTCTTGACCTGATCATCATACTGAAGCCTTAACCTCTGACTCACCCCCTTCTCTTACCTCAAAGTTTTCTGTTCCCATTCCATCTCCTGTCCCTGGCGCTCAGCATTAGGTCCCTGATCCAGAGGCTCACAAAGGCCTGCCCACCCTGAGAGGCACCCTTGCCCTTCCCTCCTGTGTGGTACCTGGAGATAGTGCTGCTCTTCCTCGAAAGTCTTCTCTAGCTGCTCCACTCTGGCCTCCTGCTGGGCCTGCTCTGCACAAAGCTGCGACTGTAAGTCCTGCAGTTCCTGCTCCATTTGCACAATATTCTTTGAGTCCCCTTTTTGGGTCTGCTTTTTCTCATTCAGAACAGCTACTTGCTTTTCCTGCATCTGTGTTTTGAGCTTCAGAATCCTAGACATGGTCACCTTGAACAGCTCTAAGCGGCTCTGAGATACTGACTGGTTTGAGGCTTTCCGCTTGTGATGATGCAGCGCCAGGACTTTGGTGGGGCCAGAGAAAACATGAGCCCCTGAGACGTTCTCACTTGGCTCAAGAGAAGTCAGCTGAGGTTCCAAATGTTCAGAGGGTCCACTGGCCAGTTCACCTTTCCCACGTGACCTCAGTGGCTGACCAGGTTCACTAGAAACTTTATTCATTTTGAATTTCAAGTGTGAGGGGCCTTCAGCTTCAGGACCCTCTAATTCATCCAAACTACATTTCCTTTTCGTTCTCAAGCCCTTGTTTTTCCCCAATATCTGATCATTCATTGGGGCAAGATATGGACACATCTTCTCCCAGTCTTCTTCAGTAACTTCATATTCATACTCTGCACTCTCCTTATTTTCCAGAGGCACCCCAAGCTGAACGCGGTCTCCCGTATGGAGAGAATAGACCTCTAAAGGCTCTAGACGTACTCTGTTCAGCCAAACGCCATTCAGACTCTGGGAAAAGGGAAAGAAAGACAAAATAAGCTTCACGATTTTCCTCCTCTTAATGGAATGTCTCCCCTGCTGCTACAAAACCTTCAGCCTTTTCAGAAGGAAAACCCTTGAGAACAAATAGAAAAGAAAGGTTCATAAACTACCGTCCTTAGAAACAGCATTCTTCACACAGGACTCTGGCTTTTTACCTGTATTTCACATTCATGCCTCCATAGAGAACAGCCTGTGTAACAGGCGGGAATCCCCTTACTACCGGTGGATGAATTACTCAAATAAATGCAGTAGCATTGAAAGAAACGGAAATGTAATAGCTCCTATTGACCCAGGACTGAAAAATCGGCTATTAGTAAAGAAAGTGGCATCTAATGATAAAGCTCAAAAGGAAAGTCTTGACCAGGAAAGCCCAGCAAGCGCCGTCTCTGCATGTGCCCCCTGAACACACTGGTGAGTGAGCAGAGCACTTTCCAGGACACATAAATAAAAAAAAAGAGTGCCAACACTTGTCCTGGGGTCAAACCGCAGGTGAGATCTGACCCACTTAATAGCACGAGAGGTCCAGGGGCATAGTGGTGAAGAGCTGGAGCTCTGGACTCAGACAGATTTGGGCTCTTAACCTACTGGGCTTATTAGCTGCACGGCCTTTGGCAATTTACTTCAACAGTTTTGTCTGTAATATAGGGCTGGTATAGTACCTACCTCATATGATTCCTGTGAGGAATAAATCAGAAAATATATGTAAAACATTTAGCACAGTGACTCACATATAAATGCTTTATGGTTGTAACTAAATCAGAGTTCAGAGTTAAGAGCATGGACCCTGGAGTCAGAATGCCTAAGTTTGTGATCTGGCTCCATCACTTAACAACTGTGGGACTTGGGCAAGTTTCTTAACCTCTCTAAGCCTCAGTTACCACATCTATAAAACAGAAAATAATAATAGTCTCTCCCTCATGGTGTTTGTGTGGATTTAATGAGATAACATATGTAATATACTTAGAAAAGTGTCTGGCACATGGTAAGCATTATATAAGTGCTCTCTACTATTATTTTGATCTGGCTTGATTTATCAACAATCACTTCCATTCTATGCTCAGTATCTTGCAAGGTAAATATACGAAGTGCAAAATTGGAAGACATGAAAATGTTTAGCAGCTGATAGTAGAAAGCAAAACACAAGGGCACATAAAAGCACAGCCTATAAATGCAATGGGATATTATGTGAAGCTGGGTTAGCTAAGAGATGCCTAATGGTAATGAAGAATTTAGAGTTTAAATAAACAAGTGGGCACTTTAACCCAGATCAAGGACTTAACTTTGGGGGACAGGCCAGAGATGAAGCTCACAGCTGAATTGGTACTAAGATTTATGTTTGTGTTGATAACTACAGTTACCTACTTTTAGCTACAACAATTACCTGTTTAACCCAAATATGAGAGGTGAGGGCTTAACCACAAGGTACAGAAGATGAAAGGCAATAGAGATTGGATCTCAGCTCTGTTCTGGTATTAGGCCCTTATTTCTGGCTTTATATCATTTGGCTCAAGCAGAAAGAGGGCAAGAAAGCAGAGCACAGCTATAGATACATATATACAGAAAGACCGGCTTTCACCCACTGCCTGGGGTCTAACCTGGCTTATCTGGCTAACCTTCTCCCAACCTTTCTATTCATATTCAGCCTGAGAAACTATGAATGAGGACTGATGAGTTCTGCTGACAATACATGAGAAAATAACACAGGAGGGGGATGGAGGTAGAAGAATTTATTTTAAAAGCTTTATATCAGGAGGGCAGGAGTGGCTGGGGAGAGGTCAATGGGGGAAAAAGGAGACATATGTAATACTTTCAACAATAAATAATTTAAATTAAAAAAGTTTTATATATATATTTTATTTTTTTATTGATTTTTTGCAGAGAGGAAGGGAGAGGGATAGAGAATTAGAAACATCGATGAGAGAGAAACATCAAACAGCTGCCTCCTGCACACCTCCTACTGGGGATGTGCCCGCAACCAAGGTACATGCCCTTGACCAGAATCGAACCTGGGACCTTTCAGTCCGCAGGCAGATGCTCTATCCACTGAACCAAACCGGTTAGGGCAATTAAAAAAATTTTATATCAAAATAGATTATACTTAGGAAAAAGGTTTCAGGAAAAGTAGTGTGACACAGAACGCTACCTAATGCCAAGGTATAGACATTTAAGAAAAACCTCAAAGGCAAAGATAAGATTAAATAAAGAATGAAGGTCACAGAAGCAGCCCCAAACTAGAGAGAACAGGGAGTCGCTAAAAAGCTGGGGAAAACTTTCAAGACAATATTGCAGCCTTCCACTAGATCCTCTGCATTAAATTGCCTCCTTCAGAGCCCTTTAGGCCTGGAAAATAAGTTCTCACATTTCCCCATCACATTTTATCCTCAGATCCTTCTATATTTACCCATTCATCACTTCCTGGTGACACCTAGTGGTATAATTGGGACCACAGCCCTGAGTCAGGTCTGTTCACAAGGTGACAATAGAAAAGGATGAAAATACCATAGCTATATAAGAACAATCAATACTGCCCAGAATATAACCTCAAATACAATGGTTTAAATAAAATAACTCTGTTCAAGCCTTTCTTTTTTTAAAAAAATATATTTGTTTATTGATCTAAGAGAGGAAGGGAGAGGGAGGAAGAGATAGAAACATCAATGATGAGAGAGAATAATTGATCGGTTTCCCTCTGCATGGCCCCCACTGGGGACCAAGCCCGCAACCCGGGCATGTGCCCTTGGCCGGAATCGAACCCGGGACCTTTCAGTCCGCAGGCCGACACTCTATCCACTGAGCCAAACCGGCTAGGGCCAAGCCTTTCTTAATGTAGGTTTTCATAATCACCAGTTTGAACAATGTCAGTAGCAGCAAAGTGATAACAACAACAACAAAAGCCTGCCTAATGTCTCTTTGCCATCAGTGGGAAAAGGTGGGATAGCACACACCCCTATACAATAATCACTTCACCTGATGCTCAACCTCTGCCCAGTGTTTTTAGTCAGTTGTTGGCGAGTGAAACCCAAAGTCAAAAGGCAATGTTCTCTGGAGTTTTCCAGATGATTTATGTAGCTCAGTGATTCTCAACCCTGACTATTCAGTGAAATCACCTGGAAATGTCTGAAACAAATAGCAATACCTGAGTCTCACCCTCAGACTGAGTTAACAGTCTGAGGCTAGAACCGGGCATCAGTTTATATACAAATACATAGTCTATAATTGGGTCAAGTCATAGTGCCCCTTTCCAGGCGACCCCTCCCCAACTCCTATTCAACTACTCATCTGTTTTCTGCCCTACCTTTTCCAGAATGTTGTATAAATGGAATCACACTGTATGTATCCTTTTTGAGTCTGGCTTCTTTCACTTAGCACAATCACTTTGAGACTTGCCAATGTTGTTGCATTAACAATAGTTGGGTATTTTTTATTGCTGACTAGTATTCCAGACATGGGTGTACAAGTTTGTTTATCCATTCCCTAGTTGTTTTCCCCGTTTTTGATAATTAAACAAAGCTACTACAAACATTCACACACACGTTTCTTTGAGAACATTAAGTTTTCATTAATTTAGGGTAAATACCAAGAAGCAGAATCACTGGTAAGTGTATGTTTAGCTGCAGGAAACTGCCAGACTATTTTTCAAAGTGACAGTACCATTTTGTATTCACACATGCAATGCTTACGATTCCATGTTCACCAGCACTTGGCATTGTTTTATTTCAGCAATTCTAATTGGTATGTATCAGTCAATATTTCTAATGCTTCACTGAAACATAAAAGTGCACAAATAAGAAATGTACAACTAGATGACTAACCACAATGTGAACATCTCAGTGTAACTACCACAAAGTTAAAAAACAAACAAAAATACCCTAACCCACATTTATCAGCATCCCAGAATCATCCTTTTGTCTTCTCTAGTCACTAAGTCTCCTTCTACCCCCATCAGGTGACTGCTAGACTGGCGTAACATCACAAATTAATTTTGCTGGTTTTGACATTAAATAAATGCCATTACATAATATATATTCTTTGGTGTCTGTCTTCTTTCACTCCATTCTATGTCTGTAAGATTTATCTGTGTTGTTGGATATAGTAGCAGTTCATTCACATTCATTACAGTATAGTGTTTCATTGTAAGAATATTCCATAGTTTATTACTCCATTATGCTGTTGATGGACATCTGGGGTATTTCCCTGTTCCCTGTGACTAAATATACTGTCACAGGGTATATATAAGTGCAACTTTAATAAATAATGCCAAATAATTTTCCAAAATAGTTGTACCAACTTACACTTCTACCCAGACAACTTTTGCTCCACACCCTTGCCAATCAATACCTGGCACATTCAGTATTAATTTTAGCCGCTCTGGTGGGTGTGTAGTGCTAGTCGATCCTGGTTTTAATTTGCATTTCCCTGATCATGAATGAGGCTGAACAACTTTTTTTTTTTTTTTTTTTACAGAGGAAGGGAGAGGGATAGAGAGTTAGAAACATCGATGAGAGAGAAACATCGATCAGCTGCCTCTTGCACACCCCCTACTGGGGATGTGCCCACAACCAAGGAACATGCCCTTGACCGGAATCGAACCTGGAACCCTTCACTCCGCAGGCCGACGCTCTATCCACTGAGCCAAACTGGTTAGGGCGAGGCCCAACAACTTTTGATGGATGTTGAACATTTGGATACAATATTTTGTGAAGTGCCTGGCTCCTGTCCATTTAAAAAACTGGGTTATCTTTCTTTTTCTTAACAATTTGGAGTCCTGTAAATATCCAATTATAAGTCCTTCATCAGTTATGTGTAGCAAATATCTTCCACTCTGAGCTTGTCTTTACTCTCCTATTGGTGTCTTTTGATGAATAGAAGTTCATAATTTTAATGTGATACCATCAGTATTTTTTTATAAGTACCCAGGGAAGGACAAAAACTGAAACAGGGTTGAGAACCACTGTTCTAATTGCTGG